GCTGACTGGCGGAACGGACGGGGGAGGGGGCGGGTACAGCTGGCTCTGCCTCTAGATAGGCAGAGCCAGCTGTCACTCACGCAGCTGGGCGGATCTCGACATCGATGTCGGGATCCGCTCCGGTGTCTCAGTATACCGCGAGCTGTAGCTCGCGGTATACTGAGCTTAGGGTGACGGGAGGACGCTAGTTTGTGTGCTCCCGTTACACTAAGGAGAACTTATGGGGAAAAGCCCTGACCCTATAGTTCTCCTTTAAGGGGGGACCCCATGCTAATACACACAAAAAATGTGGGGTTCACCTCTTCACATCAGAGTCCCCCCTCCCTTTCACATCAGAGTCTCCCTTGACATCCGGAGCCCCCTCCTTTCACATCAGAGTCCCCCTTCTCACACTTGAAGCCCCCCTTCGCATCAGAAGCCCCCCTTCGCATCTGAAGCCCCCCTTCCCATCAGAGCCCTAGTTTCACATTAGAGTCCCCCCTACACATCGCAGCCCCTACTTTCACCTGAGAAGCCCTCCTAAAATAGGAGCCTCTATCTTCCAGTGCTGGTCACTAGGGTTGGGCTCGATGTTCGAGCCGAATGTTAGTTCGACTCAAACATCGGCTGTCCACGTGTTCGACGAACATGCGAACTGGCAGGGTGTTCGGCGAACATACGAACTGGCAGGGTGTTCGGCGAACATACGAACTGGCAGGGAACCGCCGCAAATGTTGATATGTTACCGACATAATGCCATTATGCGGCGGGTGTTCGTCACAGCGACGGGACGGCAGTCGTCAGGTTTTTAAAAAATTATTTCTATTTATTTTTAGTCCAATCTGGACTATAACCCTCCTGTAGAACAGAGATCACATGACCAAATGCCTAGGCTTCTGGTTATCTGAGCAGCAGTGAAAGAGTTTGGAAGCCGAATGTTGTATCATTTCTAGTACCGCACTCGTCTTTTCTTCACTTTTTCAGGCCAGGTAAAAGCGATATTCTGTGAATTCTTGAATAATTGCAATTTGTTTACAGCCGAGCACATGTGGCAGGCGAGGCGAGTGCTTGATAGTGGAGTGTTCAGCACAATGGAGTGTTCTGTCACAAGATGTTCCTGTGCTAATAGAATGTTCAGTGAACAATAGAGGAACCTTGACTGGCAGTAAACATGCATCAAAACAGACGGAGCAAAGCAATTAGTCTTTTTCATATCACTAATCAGGCGAGAATGTCATTTTAAACCTTGTTAATGGCGCGCATGAAAAACCGTGTAAAGAACACTGTTGGCAAAATAATACCGCGGACAATTCAGACCCAAAACAATGTAGCGTCAGGTTTTTTTTTAGACACAATACTGACTGCTGCACTGGCATAAGGGATCTGGATGCACTCACATGGAGGAATGCCAACTGCACCATAATAGCTTTATTTTTTCCTTTCGACAATTAAAGTAGAGCTGCTGTGGAACTACAAGTCCCATGAGGCATTGCAAGACTGACAGCCACAGGCATGACTCCCAGAGGCAGATATATGATGGGATTTGTAGTTAAAGCACAGCTGGAGGGCTAGAGTTGCACACCCCTGCCATAAGACCTGTTTATAGGCGGTTAATCATAAACTCTTTTACTGCCCACCTAAAATCTAACATGCTGCCTTCCCTCTCTCTCTCCTCTGGCTGTCTCTCCTCACTCTCTCCTGGCTGTCTCTCCTTGTTCTCTCCCCAGGCTGTATCTCCTCACACTCTTTCCTGGCCGTCTCTCCTCGCTCTCTCTCCTGGCTGTCTCTCGTTGTTCTCTCCCCCCTGGCTGTCTCTCCTCACACTCTCCTGGCCGTCTCTCCTCGCTCTCTCTCCTGGCTGTCTCTCCTTGTTCTCTCCCCCCTGGCTGTCTCTCCTCTCACTCTCCTGGCCGTCTCTCCTCGCTCTCTCTCCTGGCTGTCTCTCCCTGTTCTCTCCCCAGGCTGTCTCTCCTTGTTCTCTCCCCAGGCTGTCTCTCCTGGCTGTCTCTGCTCATTCATCACTCTCTCTCCTCACGGTCTCTTCTAGCTCTCTCCCCTGGCTGTCTCTCCTCACTCTCTCCCCTGGCTGTCTCTTCTCACTCTCTCCTGGCTGTCTCTCCTGGCTGTCTCTGCTCATTCATCACTCTCTCTCCTCACGGTCTCTTCTAGCTCTCTCCCCTGGCTGTCTCTCCTCACTCTCTCCCCTGGCTGTCTCTTCTCACTCTCTCCTGGTTGTCTCTCTTGGCTGTCTCTCCTCGCTCGCTCTCCTGGCTGTCTCTCCTCGCTCGCTCTCCTGGCTGTCTCACCACGCTTGCTCTCCTGGCAGTCTCTCCTCGCTCGCTCTCCTGGCTGTCTCTCCTCGCTCGCTCTCCTGGCTGTCTCTCCTCGCTCGCTCTCCTGGCTGTCTCTCCTCGCTCGCTCTCCTGGCAGTCTCTCCTCGCTCGCTCTCCTGGCAGTCTCTCCTCGCTCGCTCTCCTGGCAGTCTCTCCTCGCTGGCTCTGCTCACACTCTCTCCTGGCTATCTTTCCTCACAGAGAGGGGGAGAAACCAGGGATGCACCGCTGTATCGGCAGAAAAATGGCACTTTCGGCAAATATTCCTAATTTGTGTATGTATATATATATACATACACACACACAATAAAGATCTGACAGCTGTGAAACAATCTGAATAATTGAGCAAACATTTAAAGTCAATTTTCTGACAAGTATTGCTGAGCAAAGAACCAGAGAGGTCTGGAAAACCAGTCTGAATATTTCCAGACACCAGAACCCAACAACATAGACACTATGGAGGGGAGCAGCGAGAATGGATTGTTAGCGCCATCATGTGGTGAACTCTATATAGACAAGTGGGACCGGCATGTAAACATAACATTACGGTAATTATTAGATCATTGAATATTATGGTTTATTTCCTTCACATGATCTTTTTTCTGAGCTGTCCATCCCTTTCTCCCTTTTCTTTCTTTTTTTCTTTGATCTTTTATAAATGGACCTTGCAAAGATAAATATCAAAGTAATTTTTGGGGGCAACAGAAGTTGGATCACCAGCAAAAGGAAGATATCCTGATTCCCTATATGGATCATTAGTTATCATTCTAGTCCCCACAGCCTCTCTACCCCTCAGCCCCAGCAGTGGAATGTTCCATTGTGTCCTCATAGTCAATACACTGTGTTGGATGTGATGACTCCATTGACCTTAGACGTCCAGAGTAGAGAGGGTGTGGGGATTAGTCTAGCAGCCGGGTGGGGTCGAGGTTTGGGTGAGTAAATCTTTGTTATTTTCGCTCCCTAGACAAAACAAGCACTTAACCCTTTGCACTGTGGGGGTAACTCCACTGCAAGGGTTCATTTTGCCTCTGCCTGGAGTACTTTAAGTTATCACTAGAGGGGTCACCCCAGCAGGAGGAAGGAGGTCCCGATTCCTCTATATAGATCTTTATTATCACTAGAGGGATCCCCAGCAGGAGGAAGGAGGTCCCGATTCCTGTATATAGATCTTTAGTATCACTAGAGGGATCTCCAGCCGTCTATGTCCAGTTCTGGAGATCTCACTTACACATAGATATTGATCAGAGAGAACGAGTCCAGAGACGGACAATAAAAATGGTGAAAAGTCTGAAGGATAAAACATACGAGGAGAGACTGCAGGAACCTAATATGTAAAGTCTTGAGAAGAGAAGTGAAAGAGGGGGACAGGACTGAAACCCTTAAATACATTAGTGGGGTGAACAATGTTCAGGGGGGCAGTATTTTCAATACGAAGCGGAAATCAAGAATTCGGGGACATGACCTCAAACAGGAACAAAGTCCAAAACTGACTTTAGAAATGAATCTTTTACTGAATGAGTAGTTGACGCTTGGAACAGACTTCCAGCAGAGGTAGGGAGTCAATCAACAGAAAAGGAATATGAACATGCTTGAGACAAAAACAAAAAGGAGTAAACAAAACAACAACAAAACCCCAAGAAATAGCCCACTTGGCCTTTTTCTGCCGGCTCTTCTATGTCATTATACTGTACATTTGCGAGGCTGGGTCACCAGGCTGGAAGGGGATTGGCACTCCAATGCTACTTGTTGACAATCCTCCAGGATAAACAAAGCTGCGTTGCCATGGCGACATCAGCTGAGCTCAGAAAGTAGGCCAAACATCACTTCCCATTTACTCGCATGGAAGAGACGGCTCCAAGACAGCGTTACCACGGAGCCACAGCCCGCGCACAGGTTACAGCCTACGGACAGCAATAAACACTTATCTGCCAACACCGGGGAGACATCTGCATTTATAAAAACATTTAGAATAAAAGGTTGGACAAAAAGAAATATATACATACTGGGGGGGAATGTATCAAAATCTGGAGCAGCTGTGCATGGAAACCAATCAGCTTCTCTGTGTAGTTTGTGCAGTTGAGATTTGAAAATGAGAGATGCTGATTGGTTGCCATGGGCAACTGGTCCAGATTTTTTTTTGCTCCAGTTTTGATAAATTCCCCTCACTGTATATGTAATAAATACTAATATATATATATATAATCAATTAGCGAATTGTGGCCGTCAGCGACTAGTCAATGTTAGGGCAGATTGAGAGTGGCAAGACTGGTACAAGACAACAGAAGGGCAACAGTGCCGTGTCAGATTCCTCGCATCACCTTTCATCATCTCGTGGAGTCACGAGGTGGCCCAACGAAGTACTGATGGCGTGGTCATAATAATCTGGCCACTCAGTGTATCGTATAAACAATATAACAATATTAACAATGTATATGATATTTGGCTATTGTGTAGAGGTATACGTGATTTTGGATCAGTCAGCACTATGTCCCTTTTTCAGATGTATTTTTATGATTTTTTTTTTTTTTTTTAAAGATATTTTAAATATATATCATTCATTCAAACACCTCACAAATCCAATTTTTCTAACGTGTGGGTCTGTATGTTGAGTAATGGGGATGTGGTGTCTTGATATGTTGAATCAGTGACAATTTTTATATTTATGTATATTTATTGCTACGGCAACAACATGCACAAAATCAATGTCAGACATTAACTAGGAAAGGAAATTGAGATGTACCTCCTCACGTCATACCGAGCATTACCTGGTATGGAAGAAAACAAAAACAAAATATGAAAAGAAAAACCCTAAAGTGTCCATATTCGCATTATTGCTGCATATAGAAGTGCAGCTCCGGTTGTAGTGACTGGTGTCGAGTTTGAGGTCTCATCCTGCAGGGGAAGTTCTACCAGACAGCTCTCTCCTCCAACTGAAGGGCAGATTTATTGACGCTACAGAAGGTTTAGAAGGCTCTGAAGAGTTGGTTGGGCAGATAGCCCAGGTGTAAGAAGGAGGTCTGAGCCTCTTTCTCCAAAGAAGCCAGCTCCTGTACAGTAGGTGCCAAGATATCTACATGTCCTTTATAGAGTCCACCTGCAAAGAGAGAAAGAGGCTCCGGTGTGAAATGACTCCAGTACAAGGAATAAACAATGTCGTTATGCGCAAGACAGCAGTACTTCAAGTGGAATGTATAAAGGAAAACTGTGGGAATACAGAAGAGTATAGGGATGACATTCCCATATTTGGCATCTTCAACAACAAGGGAGTAATGGCAGCTCCCATATTACTACCTAGACTGATTGCTTTTGTTGGAGGTAAACTTGATGCCCCCCTCCCAATATCCAGCAGAAGTGTGCTGCTTAAGGTGGCCATGCGCTGTTCTATTTTCCTCATTCAACCCACAGGCTGAAGGAAAAAAAAAATAGCACAGATTCCTCCATTAATGCTTATGAGCATTGACCAAGAAATCCCCCATTGTCTTCACTGTATTCTGACGGTGGCCGCCGGACGCTATCGGAATGCCAGAACAGAGCTCAGTGGCTTCTGGCTCTGTTCATTCGAAGATTTTCCAACCGGCTCCTTCAATCAGCTGATTGAGGGATGCCGGCCGAAAGGGTGCTGACAGCAGCACCCACTATGCAAATTTTGTCTGGTTCATCAAGTGTATGCACAGTGCACAGTGTATGGCCACCTTTAGTTGTTTTACCAACATTGCAAGGCAGCTGCAACTAAACCAGAGGTCAGCGACACAGCTAAGGTTTCTTACAGCATAAAATCCAGTGTTGTGTTATTCTGGACCTATGGGCTTCCCAGAGTATACAAAGGGCAGCTCGACCAAAACATCTAAATCAGTGAGCAATTTAGGGCAGACTCCGACTTGAGCATCCTATTGGGGTGCGGTAATGCACTTTATGGCATGTGATCATGTGTTGATTTAAAGGGGAAATTCCACCTTCTTACAAAATGTGAGAAAAGAAAGTTACCCACCCAAATCTGCCACCTCTCCCCACCCCCTGGTCATACCTTTGAGTGGAAGGTCCATCCTCCTCGTGTCAGCCGGTGTACATGTATGACCAGCAGGGGGTGGGACGAGGTGACAGATTTGTCTGGGTATTTTTATTTTCTCACATTTTGTGAGAGCGTGGAATTACTCTTTAAGGCAGTCCATTCATTATGAATGAGCGGTTAATGCACTTCAATAAAAGGAAAAAGAAAAAATGAATATGACCTATTTTTTTCCCAGAAAGGAAGCATAAACACAACCCACAGCATATGCAGTGTGGTGTGCATTGCTGCCTACTACACAATGAGGGGAATTTATCAAAACTGGAGCAGACAAAATCTGGAGCAGCTGTGCACGGCAACCAATCAGCTTCTATCTCTCATTTTCAAATCTTAACTGGCCAAACTGAAGAGATGCTGATTGGTTGCCATGGGCAACTGCTCCAGATTCTGTCTGCTCCAGTTTTGATAAATTCCCAACAGTGTATAGGGTTGACAATCACAATGGATGGCAGCACAATGCAATGCATATAGAGCAGGTGCACCCCCGGGCATTTAGACAAGTGTGAATAAGCCAAAAATTGTTCCCGAGAGCAGGCACAAAGGTTTAGTTTTCCCCAAAGCCGAGAGCTATGACAAACCTCCGCACCGCACAACTCAAGACAAAAATCTCCCTCCTGAATCAGCAATTGCCCTGCACAGGTAGTTTTTTTTTTTTTTTTTGGTCCACCAGGTTAGGTGCAGTTTTCAGGCATTAGGGCATACATTAGGGGTTTGATTAGGGTTAAGGATATGGTACTTAAGCAAATTTAACTGTTAAGTCTCATCATACGGAGTTATGTTTTAGGGGTCAGGTGAGGGAGGGTTAAGTGTTAGGGTTTAGTTTCTGCTTGGTCATGTGGGCCAAGCGTGTCTTTGTTTCCAAAAGTCTCAGCAGCAGATCCCAGGGTTGAATGCAACATACTTCTCCGAGCCTACACATGGGCATACACTTGCTTTGAATTTTGGAAAACCACGTTATACCAGTACATAGATGTGCAAACCATTGTCACAATGTCCAGGAATACAAAGACAAACTATAACTTACCACCAGTAGCTCTGCGTTTCCCGTACACTACTTTTCCATCAAATTCATCCAGAGGCACCTTCATGTCAGGCTCCACGTGTGATATGGTGCAAGTCAGATGCTCCTCAATCTCTGACAGCAGCTACAAAGGAATAACAGGTACACAGATCAGTGCCAGCCAATGTCAGGGAGTGTGTTTAGCACGGCAAGGATAAATATGGCAATTTTCTAAATGATCGGAGTATCACAAATAAAATGCAGGAGGCAAATTTATGGAAGTCTGCTGAGTTTTTTTTTTCTGGCTTCCATCTTCTTAGTAAAAATGTCCAATTCAGATTGAATTGATCAAAGTTATACATCAAGTTATACAAAAGTTTTGTAAACACATTTCATAAACACAAACCAGTCCTCAGGTTGAACAAAGAAACAAGATCAGATTTCTCTATTAATGCTTGCAAGTAAGGATGCACCGATACTAGTATTGATATCGGTACCGATACAGAGTATTTGGGCTAGTACTTGTACTCGCCCAAATGCTCAGATGCCTAGCACGAGTATTTCCGGTATCAGGAAGCCGGGCAGCGCGTCATTACACGCTGCCAGGTTTGCTGATTGGCCGGGAAGCGGCTCCATGCTCTCTCGTCACTTGTGATGAGAGAGCATGGAGCCGACTTCCCAGCCAATCAGGAAGCCGGGCAGCGTGTAATGACGCGCTGCGCGGCTTCCTGATTGGTCGGGAAGCTGGCTAATCAGGAAGCCGGGCGCCGTGTAATGAAGCAGCGCCCGGCTTTCTGATTGGC